TGTGAATATTCTTGTTGTGCTAAGAGCCTATAGCGCAAAAGCCTATAGTTTACTGGACCATTGACGACTGCATCAGAAAATGAATTGCAAATTAAAAGAGCCACATGGAACCGGAGACAGAGAGACTCCTGTGGTTCTGTAAGTAGAACAGGTCGATTGGAAACTAAATTATCGACGTGGGTTCTGCATTCGTAATTCCATAGAGCGAGATGACGTGCAAAGGAGGAATGCTGAATTTGTGTGCAGTCATTTCCTTAGTGAACGCTAGTCTCTCGTGTAGCCATCACTTTATTGTAACTTTTTTTATAATTTTGCACTCTTAATGGGGTAAAAGTGCGAAATCATGTTCCACACACTCGTCCACGCGTGTCCCGAGAAAATAACTGTTATGATGTGATTGCCTTAAAGCATCTGCTGCGAAATTAATTGACCCCACACTTCACTTCTTGCCTGTCCCTCTAATTCAACTACTTCAAACCACTAACAGTAATGTCATTGATCGAAAGTCGAGACCATTGACTACACCATCACATCGTGTATTGAAAGATGGGGTCTCTTCTAAGTCCACTCGATAGATCGACATCTGGGATTTCTGAAATTCAAAGTTTGTTCGAAGAGAAGTAGAGAGTAAAAAAGGCTCTAGTTATTAGCCTTCTTTGAGTCCTGAACTCCTGCCCCAAGCCTACCCTTCATCCGTTTGAAACTTTCAACCCATTCATGGGTTTGATTCCTAATGTAACGAAAAGTTCGATTTTTCGATCAATTCCACCATATGGCTAGAATGTGTTGGCCGAGAATTCACAATGACGACGAACTACTATTCACAGTTATATTGCGCTTGGATTGGTCAGTCTTTCACCACTTCAACACAACCTTGTCAAATCGCATCAAATGATTTTGAAAGTGTGGGAAGATTTCGTTCAGTCGATTAATGTTCCTGTTTGATCGTCCAATTCATCGCATTTCTTCAGTTTGTTAGTTGTCTTGTTTCAAGATTTGTTTTTATAATTCTGTAAATTGGGGCATGCTTCAAATAAATCATTGCGTTTAAAGCGAGTTCTGGATCAATGAGGAGATTTGCGTTGGCAAAATGAGAGTAAATTTGCGTACTTGTTTGATTTTTGAGCTGTGTGATGTCTCACTGGATTTGTTTGCCAGTCGCATGATTGATGCACAGGACTGGGATTTTGCTGCACTTTCCATGTTGCTGACGGTTTCCATAAATGACCGGGTGCATAGCGGATCACGGAGATGCAGCATCAAAAAACGAAGACGAACAGAACTGAAGTAAATGCGGATCCCTGCAGCCAACGACTGTTAACGAAAGCAGAGTCTATACATTGCAGTTGCATGATGCGTCCAATGAGAAACCCTTATTAAATGTTCCTATTCACTGAAACATGGTGGGTGCAGCATCTGTGCGATTACGCCTGGCTAGAGTGGTGAGAACGGGGCTGAATGAAAGAATCCAGGCGGTTAGTAATTAGGCTTTTCCGTTTTTTCGAGTTTAATCCTCAAAGACCCTGTGGATCTTTAAGTTGAATAATCGGTGGGCAGGCATGGTTTTGTCGCTCTACCGCCTGTATCGTAGTCGTTTGAGCTAACAGCACTACCACATGGAATTGTGGGGTGATGTGACACAAGAACAAAAGATATCGCCAAGCTAGCTGTCTGTCAGGCAATATTCATGTAGGGTTAGTGAGCATTTATTGCTTGAAAATAAAAACAATTTCAACACGAACAGACAGACTTGCCGGAATCGGAGGACAACAAAAATAACCATAACAGTTCCACTTTACATCGCCACTTGGTGGTGAATTATCCCCAATGGAAGCAACTCGAGCATAGTTAAAGAGAATAGGGAGCGTTGTGGTAAGAATTGAAAACACACAGATGCTAGATGGTTGCACGACTCTTTCGTGAATTTGAGTTAGCCAATAAAGTAGGTGGTTTTAATGATGGGATCGATTAAGAAGGGAATCCGATTTTTTAAGCCTGAATTTACTCTCTGAGCAAGGGCTGTTGATGCTCACGATGTACCTTTAAAGAATGCGTATTTGAAACTCCGTTAAATAGACGTATACAATGCAATCTATATCGTTCATCTTTGCTCCAATGATGATGCAAAGACTCGCATTCACACCCACTGAACGTTGTAAATTTAACGTCGAAAACTCTTCAGCTGGCACTGCACCAGCTACTCATTTCCTTATTTATATGCAAACCGAACTAACTGAAAGAGCTTATGTCTCTCAGTAGTCCTCTTTCATCTGGCACCAAATCACCACTCGTGGTTGTGGGATGCGACACTAGTTTGCCTGAATTCGTCCCAGAATGTTTTGAGGGGAGTGTTGAGATTGTGGGAGCGATCGTTTCTCGTTGAAAATGGCATTGTCCCAGTGTACACTATAAAGTCAGTTTTGGTAGTGTCTGTGTCTACTATAGAATCAGTGTTTGCAGTTCACTCCTGATCAACTCAGAACAATCGATAATGGATGCTCTCGTGGCCTACTTAAACGTTAAGGAACCTGAATTAGCCAAACAGAAGCGCTTTTCTAATTTCAAGTGAAAAAAACTACCATCAGAATTTTACATGCAATTTTTAACCACAAGTTTGTAATTCAGTGGCCTATCGATACCCCTCAAATGATTCTTCGGATTTGTTGATGTGTTATCTAATGCTGGCTATCGGTGCTGCCGTATCAGTTTTTATCAGAAGGGTTAGTGATCAGTTGTTAGAAGTCATAGGTGAAGAACTATTTGTGGCGTGAATGCATGAGTGTCTCGTGGTAGCTGTGGCCCTCATTGTCTCGCAAGGATGATGAACCAGCTTAACTCGACACCTCGCTTGTCCTTCCTTCATCCTCCTCATTACCACGTATTCATTTGATGTTGTCATTGGAAACCAGGTAGACGACAAACGATGTCATGGAAATAAATTCCAATTTGTTCTGAAAATAATATGTGTTTCCTGCCAGAGACGTCATTATCCACTCATAGTTGTGTAATGACTTTTAAAGTGAATTGGTAATCACGTTTGTTGGCGTTAGTGAGAGCACTACACTGTCGCTTAATTTAATTATTGTGTTCTAGCACATTTCGCAAAAGCGTTTGACATTGGCATATTTCCGCTAAAGTCATTTGCTATGATTTTGGAGTAGAACACCTTAAACCAATCAGGTTCGTTGTTTGCAAGCGTGCACCAGTAGCTGAAACCTACTTTGCCTATAAATAGCAAGAATTAACACAGAATTTTCTTATGTTTTTACATGTCTTGGTATATGCGTATTCACTACGTCTTTATCTTTATAATCGGTTGGTCGTTAAGCTACTTAAAATCTAGTCTGTGGAATCAGATTAATTCACATTAATTTTCCAAAGGTCAACTATACCTAACAGGTGGTTGTTCAGTTCGTCTAAATTAAGTCTGTGGTACTGTGAATCGGTGGATGACTGAAATGTGCACTGACCGACTTTTCTATCTTCCAGACAACAAAATGGCACTTGAAGTGACGCTGACGTCGGTGGTGGCAGCAATTGTGGTGTGGGCCGTTCAGGTGGAGAACGGTGGTGTCCTCAATACTGTCTTCAAAGTTGTGCCAACCACCTCGCCATCAGGAACGGTGGAATTTGACTTGTCAGACAACCTGATGCAATCGAATATTGATTACCTCATGTCAATGCTGCTAA